GGGGAGGGGGAAGAGGGGGCGGGGGCAGTGACCCACTGGTCTGACGGACCAGGGGTGGGCTACCTGGAGGGGCCTGGCACCTCTGGGGTGGGGGTGATGGTCCATGACGGGCTCCTGGGGAGGGCGGGGGCGAGGCTGGTCAGTGGCCGGAGCCCAGGCCAGGGGGGAGGGGAGGGGAGGGCAGCTGCACCTGCTCCGAGCCCCTCCCCCCATCCCGGCCTCGCCGGTGGGGGCCCGGCCCCCCCCCCCCCCCCCTCCCCCTCCTCCTCCTCCATCCCGAACACCGACCATCCTCCATCACCGCCTCCCCGCTCACCTGGCCGCCGTGACGTGCAGCGAGCGCCAGGCGCTCAGCGCCGGCCGCAGGAGTCGCGCCGCCCGCGGGGCCGCCATGCCGCCACCGGCGTCGCCGACGGAGCCACCGACCGAGGAGCAGGCGCCTGGAGCGCGGCGCTCGCGGCCACCTTGCCCGGCCCAAGAAGAGGCGCGAGTAGTCGCCGGCCGCCCTTTATAGCCGCCGGCCGCGCGGGGGGGCGGGGCGCCCGGCTCCCGGCCCGCGCATTGGGCCCGGTGCGTGACGTCACGGCCCCCCGGCGGGGCCGCCGCCTCAATGAAAGAGCCGTGCGTCAGGGCCGGCCGGGCCCCGCCATTGGGGGACGCCCGGGAGGGGGCGTGGCCTGGCGCTCCTTACATGGCCGGCGCCCGTTCATTGGCCAGACGGGAGAAGGCAAGAGAGGGCTGAGGTTGCGTAAGCCTGACAGCTGTCAGAAGGAGGAGAGGTGGAGGCAGGGCGGGTGCCGAGCTGGACCACCTAGGCTCGTGGACCGGGAACTGCCAGGAGCCTCTGTGGCCGGTGGCCGTCCGTGCCAGCCTGTTTACAGATGCGGGCCATGAGTCACAAAGGGATGAGGCCACTTAGTCCAACCCTCACGTTACAGATGAAGAAACTGAGGCACCGAAAGGCCAAGTGATTTGTCCAAGGCCACACACCAGAGAGCATAGAGCTGGAAGGGACCTCAGATGCCATCTGCTCCAACCCCCCGAAATGGCTTGTCCGAGATGGCACACAAGTTCAGAAACATGCGTGTGGAAGAGACCTCAGAAGCCAAAAGCTAGTCCAGGGGTGGGGGATCTTCAGCCTCGAGGCCACGTGTGGACCTCTAGATCCTCAAGCGTGGCCCTTTGACTGAATCCAAACTTCACAGAACAAATCCCCTTAAGAAAAAGCTTTGCTCTGTAAAACTTGGACTCAGTCAAAAAGCTGCACCCAAGGACCTAGAAGGCCACATGTGGCCTCAAGGCCCCAGGTTCCCCACCCCCTGAGTAGTGCAACCCTTATTTTTACAAATGAGGAAATTGAGGCACAAAGAAATGAAACAGTCCAAGATGGAACACAGCCTTCCTCAGTGCAGAGAAGCCCAGCAGGAAAGGATGAATTTTCTGAGCTGCAGCAAGTGACAAACCAACCTTGCCCACCTAAGGCACCAGTGGGGGAGGGGAATAGGGGAATCTACTCTGGTGGCAGGCGAGGCTCCCAAACCATGACATTCTGGAGCCTGGACTTCTCAGGTGAGTTCCTGGTGTGCTGCAGTTTACAAAGTGCTTTGCTTCTATAGCCCCACGTATTAGGCAATTTAAGTATCGCTATTGTTCAGTCATGTCTGATTCTTCATGACTCAATGCGGGGTTTTCTTGGCAGAGATCCCAGAGTGGTTTGCCATTTCCTTCTCCAGCTCATTTTACAGCTGAGGAAAATAAGGCAAACAAGGTTAAGTGACTTGCCCAGCATCACACAGCTAGGAAATGTCTGGGGTCACATTTGAATTCAGGTCTTCCTGACTCCAGGTCTGGTGCTCTTCGCCACTAGTATTATTAGCCCCATTTTATTGTTGCCCAAAGACTAGACAGCTAGCCCTTTACATACTCTAAAGTTCATGTCTGTGGGGGGAGTTTTCTGATATATGTATCCTTCATGTCTTTTTTTTTTTTTTTTGTGAAGGGCAATTGGGGTTAAGTGACTTGCCCAGAGTGGCATAGCTAGTGAGTGTTATGTGTCTGAGGCCGGGTTTGAATTCAGGTCCTCCTGACTGCAGGGCCGGTGCTCTATCCTCTGCACCACGTAGCTGCCCCAACGTCAACTCTTGCTTGGGGCTTTTGGCCTCATGTGAAATGTCATTAAAGTCAAGTCAACAAATCAACAAATATTTATTAAGTACCTACAGTGTGCTGGTACCATGCTAAGTGATACAGACAAAGATTAAAGACAGTCCCTGGCCTTCAAAGAATTCAGTCCAATGCAGGATATAACCTGAAAACAATGGGTACAAACAGGGTGTATACAAGATAAAATGGAGATAATGTTAGAAGGAAGGCACTAAGGCCTGGGAAAGAAGTCTCCTCTTACCACATTTTTCTGTTGTTTTTCTGTTGTGCCCAACTCTTCATGACCCCATTTGGGGTTTTCTTGGGAAAAATATTGGAGCGGTTTGCTGTTTCCTTCTCTAGCTCATTTTACAGATGTGGAAAGTGAAGCAAACAGGGTTAAATGACTTGCCCAGGGTCACACATCTAGTAAGAACTGAGGCTGGATTAGAACTCAGAGTGATGAGTCTTCCTGACTCCAGCCCTGGCCTTCTATCCACTGCACCACCTTATTGCCCTATCTTCCTAACATAGAACTAATTTCTGTAGTGTTTAGGCGGCACCCACTCGGAATTCGGGCCAGGGAGTTGGGGGGTGGAACAAGGCCCCTTGAAGGAGAGATAGGAGGCAGCATGTACCAAGCAGGTCAGACCTAGCACCCCCGGACCACCTTCTCCTCTCAGACCCTGATCAGGCAGACAGCCCAGAATCCTCAGCCTGGAACCCTGAATGCATGAGTCTGAGGAATAAACAGCAATGCTGATTCCCAGTCAAATGGGTCAGTGTCAGAAAGTGATCAGATTTTATCAGTGGAACTGACATTCAAGAAGCGGCCTGACCTTTTATTTTGGGGTTGACCCCTAAGGACCAGGGGATCTTTGCACAACCGATTTGCAGCTGAAACCACCCCCAGCCCCACGTGTCGTCTCCCTCATTAAATCATGAGCTTCTTGGGAGCAGAGACTGTCAGACCTTTCTCTTGTAGCCCAAGCACTCAGCATAGGGCTTTGCACACAGTAAGCACTTAATAAATGCTTCATTCACCCTTTCCTTCCTTTACCCAATTCTCTACTGCTCTCTTTTGTCTTTGTTCTTCTCAAACCAGTCAGAAAGATGATAAAGCAAATTCATGAGGGCACAGGAGACAGAGAGGGTCACACAAGATAAAAGGGACAACTTTGATTGTAGAAAATGACAAAGTATTTGCCCAAACGAATCCAACGTATTTAAAATCAGGGGAAAACTCTTTACAAGTTTCTCTGATAAAGCCCTCACATCAAAGATATTTAAGGAACAGACTCAAATTTACCAAGAAATCAATGGTAAAAGGGTCCAAACAGGCAGTTTTCAAAGGAAGAAATCAAAGTTGTCAGGAACCATATGAAAAAATGTTCTAAATCACTAATAAATAAAGAAGTAAAAGAATAAAGAATGCCTTGACTAAAGAGGAAAACAGATCAATTCACCAGCAAAGTCAAGTCCCAAAGAGTCATAAATGTAGGGCTGGAAGCCCCCTCAGAGATTATCTATGGCTAAATCCCTCGTTCTAAACATGAGGAAAGTGAGTCTCACAGAGGTCAAGTGACTTGTCCAAGGATATATAGGCAGTAAGGGGCAAAGATGGGATTTGAACCCAGGGCCCCATAGGCTAAATCCAATGTTCTTCCCTCTTTACAAGGTAGGCTGTATAGGTCTGGAAAAGAGTATGAAAAAATTATGGAGGTCGTAATAGGCTGCAAGCTCAAGTTGAGGGAAAAGTATGACAAGACACCCCAAAAAGCAAACTGGATTTTAGGTTCCATGAAATAAAACAATATCCAAAAGATGGGAAATCACAGACTTGCTGCTAGCTGCCTTGGTGAAGTATGCTCAGGTCTGGGGGGCCATATTTATGAATGTGACAAGGTAGAGTGAAGGCCAGTTACAGAACGGAGTTGCTTTGGTGTGGGGATTGAGAGAACCAGTCAGATTCTGTCTCAGGAGCACTGACTCCCCCTTGGGCTGCCACATTGATTAACCTCCATCTAGTTGTTTTTCTGCGGAATCGTCCACAGGAAACTAGATAGTGCAAGCCATCTATTGTTTCATAAATGCAAGTGGATGCAATTAATCAGCAGCTCTCAATTCTGGGAAAAGAAAGACATTGAAAACCTACTTGCCCCACTCCCAACCTGACTGAAACTCATTCTTCCCTCCTCCCAGTTTGGAAAACCCTTCATCTTTTCTCCAATCAGAAATCAGATTACCTAATGTTGTATCCTGGTTTGTACCCTGTTAATTGTTTTCTTTTAATTAATTGGTCTTGCTTGTTTTGGGGTTTTTTTTTTCAATATGTCACAATCTGTCCCACTCTTGTGTTCAGGGTCTTTGGACTGACTGAGTCCACTGAGCCGTTTATTATTTCTGTTTTGCTAATAAATCATACAACTTAGATTTTGTTTCCTCAGTTATTATTAATTATCCACAACAGAAGTCAACAATAAACTGAATAACATCAAGAGAAGGGCAATCAGGATTGAGAGGGCCCTGGAGATAATGCCATTGAATAAGGATTCAGAGCCTTAGGTCTATATCCAGGGGCAGCAAGAGTGAAGGGCACCACTAAGAAATGCCCAGGTTGGTGCTGGAATGGGAGGGGAGGGGAGATACCATGGAAGCCACTGGAAATGACAACAAACATTGAGGCAGCGGAGCACCCAGACTAGGGTACCCCAGGACCAGGGGTTCCAATGTCCCTAGATGTCTCAGGTATTCTTAGATGACACAGAGAGCCCTGAACATCAGAGAGGTGGAGGTTAGCACAGGAAACCAGGGGACCCAGATTGAGGCCAAGCAGCGTCTCAAACATCCCACCTAAAAGTGTAGAAAGTGTGGAGCCTAGCACTGGCACAAAGCCCCAGTTCAGGAACCAAAGAGAAAAGTACAGACTCCTATAAAAAATTAGAATAGCTCCAGAGATACCCCAAAATCCAACCTAGCAGGAGAGAACAGCTCCATAATAAATGGCAAGCAGAGACATAAGGGGAAAAATGGATTTTCCACAAGGAGAACATGAATACCTAGAAGGAGGGAAGGAAGAGATAAAAATGAAATAAAAGCTCTGGATTTTTGAAATTGAAAGGAGAATAAACAACTTAGAACAGAAAATGGTAAACCTTACCCAAGTAACCAAGTCACTGAAAATTAGAATAGACTAAGCAGAAATCAATGACTTCAGTAGCATAGGCTCTGGCCCATAGAGAACACTTAATAAATGTGTACTGCTT